GGAGAAATATTAGAGATTGAGGGAATCTCATGTCGTTTTAGTGATTGGGGGTAGATCATCTGTTTGGTACGATTAGGGCGTTAAATTTAAAAAGTTAGGGCGTTAAATAGGAATCCAGGTGGATTTTACCCTGGGTTTTTTCCATGAATAAACCTATGAGTTTGGGAAACCCGACCCAATGCGACCCATTGTCATCCCTAGATGTAACACCCCTGTCCTTGATATAAATGTAATTCCTAAACTGCCCTTCATAATGGATCAATAATATAAATAACCTCAACCTATGAAGCCTTGTATTCAGATGCGTGTGGGTATATATATGTAATGGACCAGCTACTCCCACTCTTTTCCTCCACCTTCCGCCGCTCAAATCTAACCCTAGCTCGTGTTCTCGCAATCCCTAGAAACGAGAGCCATGAAAATCCATATTTCCTTCCACTGCGGGCTAGCCGTATCAAACGACGGGTTGGGATGAGACTATGACGAACGTGTTGAGTGAAGTTTGTCAATGAGGAAAGAATCAGTGAAGCAATCAAGACATATAAGGCAATTCTCAAGGAAGGAAAGCGGCAGCAGATTTGCAGGCAATCAAATCACCATTCTGCAACGGCTAACTCAAGAAAAGAGAATTATAAAAGATCAAACAGGATGAAGCAAAGGGCATGGTTCTGTGAGAGAAAATCAAAACAGAGTGCTGTGTGTAATCAGTGTCTTTTGATTAAGAACCTCAGGAAGCTAATCAGGGAGAATAGCGAGTGTGTCTGGGTGTGTGATCGGGGAGATTATTCATCTAGGAAAGCTAGACTGACAAGCAGGGAGCTGATCAGGTCGAGCTCAGTTGGTGTAAACAAAACAAGGAAATCGTGCTAGTAGTTATGTAGGGATTCTCAAGAAGAGAAATCCCTAACGTGGATTAGTCGATATTGAGATACTTATTCTCCCAATATCGGATACCACGTAAAAGTGTGTGTGTGCTGTTCATCCACTTTATGCTGTGATTGTTGGTTGATCTGTTTCTGTGTTAACGTGTTCAGGTACAGAGAAGCTTTGAAGCAGGGTTCATCTTGGCAGATTAAGGAAGAAGAAGTGATCAGCAGGCTTTAGTGGGTGTGCAGGGCCAAGCCCAAGTTTCTTGAAAACAAACGTTTGGGCTCTAAGCCCAGAGTCACTTCGGTTAATCATATTTCAGACCCAATTCATTCTTAGCAATTTTTTGTTTTCATTTCTGCTACATTAATCTAAGAATCAATTATCAAACCCTTGGCATTTCACTTGGCTGGGCAGTTTGTCGATTAGGGTTTTGAAGGAGCTGTTCTTCATCGTCTTCACGAATAGAAGCCGGCTGGTCTCGCGCTCGACCCACCAACATGTGGTATCAGAGCCCGGCTTCGACGTTTTAGCGCAACCGTCTTCGGAGAAGATGAGCTCGGGATCGGCTGCAGGAATCTTTATGGCAGATGGGTTCTCACAAACCCGTCCTCCGAGGTTTGAAGGTGTCCACTATGGCTACTGGAGGAACCGGATGGAGCTCTTCATCGGATCAACTGATCCGGATTTGTGGAACATCGTCCTGGATGGTCCTCTGGAGGTGAAGGAAGCTCGCGGGAAGTGGAAGGAAGCTGACAAAAGAAATTTTCAGCTCAATTCGAAGGCAACAAATCTACTGTACTGCGCGCTGGGGCCAGAAGAGTATCACAGAGTGACTGGATGCAAATCTGCAAAAGAAATCTGGGATAAATTGCAGGTTGCACATGAGGGCACATCTCATGTCAAAATCTCAAGGATAAACAGTCTCAAGCAAGAATTTGAGTCGTTCATTATGACGCCAGAAGAGTCAATCAAGGAGATGAATGATCGATTCACCACGATTGTAAACAGTCTGAGAAATCTGGAAGTGGAGTATACCAGTGCTGATTTGGTTCGCAAGGTTCTCTGGGCACTGCCCAAGAAATGGACACCTAAGGTCACCGCAATTAAAGAATCCAAAGACCTCACCAAGTAGTCTAGATGAACTTATTGGGTCTCTTATCACACATGAGGACAAGCTAAAAAGAGAAGAGCTGGAGGAACCAAGAAAAGAGAAAAAGGGGATAGCCTTCAAAGCCACAACCAAAGAAGATGATTTGGATTGTTTAGATGAAACGGAGGATGATGAGCTTGCCATGCTCAGCAAACATGTGGCGAAGCTCCTCAGGATTAGAAGGGAAAAGAAACGAGGGGGATTCTCCAACAGATCAAAGGATGGTGATGGTGACAGAGAAAGCAACAAAGGAGGAAGACAAGGACTCAGAAATCGAAGGGAAGGAGCAAGCAATGAGAAGCCCCAGCCTCAAGCTGGTTGCTTTAAATGCGGAAAGACAGGGCACATCAAAGCGGAATGCCCACTAGGCAAGAAAGAGAGAGCATATGTTGTTACCTGGAGCTGCAGCGAAGAAGATGAAGATGAAGCCAATCCCAAGTTCAGTGCCTACATGGCCATTGACGAATATGAAGGAGAAAAATCTCAGGTAACCAACTATTACTCTGACTCTCGTAGTGATGATGATGAACTATTAGATGAAACTATTAGGGATATTCAAAACGAGTTTGTGATTGTGAAAAAAAATATACTTTAATCAAAGCTAGTCATGAAAACCTACAGAGTGAATTCGAGAAAATGAAGAATGAGAAGATAAGTGCAGAAACCAAGATTCAAGGTCTAATGCAAGAAAATAGTAGGTTAAGGAAACAAATCGATGCCACTAAGGCAGAATTACCGCAGATAAGAATTCGAACCAAGGCAAAGCATGTATCTGTGAGGAGGTCTTACTGCCACAAAACTGGGCATTACATTGCAAATTGTTGAAAACGTATTACTAAAGAAAACAGAACAAAACAATTTGGACACAAAGTTCAGAACATACACATGATATATACACAAATTTAGTTCAGTCCAGAAGGGTATCTAAGCTAGTCTGGATACCTAAAACTAAATAAATGTATTTACTCTTGCAGATCTGTCTCCAAGTGAGCATGAATGGCAGCGTTTGGATACTTGATAGTGGATGCTCATATCACATGACTGGTAATAAAAATCTCTTTTCAAAACTAACTTTGGAAAACAAAGGAAAAGTATTTTTCGGTGACAATTTTAGCATAAAAATCTTAGGAAAGGGTACAGTAGGTACTGTTCCATCTATTAGTAATGTGCTACTGGTAAAAGACCTGAAACATAATCTTTTGTCTATTGGACAGCTCTGTGGAAATGAAAATAGAGTTGTCTTTGAACAAGATAAATGTTTTGTAGAAAACATAGTAAGTCACAAGCTTATACTAACAGGTAAACGAGAAGGCAAACTTTTCTCAATTGATCTAGAAGACAAGACTGCTTTCAATGAGACTTGTCTTGTCACAATTGATAAAAATGATCAATTTGAATGGCATAGGTGACTTGGACACGTCAATATTGGCATTTTGTTAAAATTAGTAAATCTGGGAATTGTTAGGGGGATTCCAAAACTTCTCAGCAAAAAGAAATTTTTCTGCGATGCTTGTGCTAAAGGAAAGCACTCTAGGACTTCCTTTAAAACCAAACCAGACATATCTACTGTTAGACCCTTAGAATTGCTACATCTAGACTTGTTCGGTCCTAGTGATGTCATGAGTCTAGGAGGTAAGTATTATGCCTTTGTGATTGTAGACGACTACTCTAGGTTTACCTGGGTACTGTTTCTTTCCACACAGGATGAAGCTTATCAAAACTTTAAAGACTTTGTCAAACGTGTTGAAAATAAAAAATAATAAAAAATATGTAGCATAAGAAGTGACCATGGAGGTGAATTTGTTTATGAAAAAGGCACTCCAAAACCAACAAAAGCTTAATTAAAACAATGAAAATTACAATAAACAAAACAAAAGGCACATGCATGCCCCGATCTTTACCTGGATCGAAGCTCTCTGTTGGATTAGGTTGATACAAGTTGTTCTATAGGCCAGTTAGGGAGGGAGAGGAAGAAGAAAGTTTGATTGGCTCTCTTTCTTTTAAATCAAACGAGTTTCCACAGAAGAGAAAGAAGGGGTCATTGAAGGGAGTTGGAGAAAAAGAAGAATAGTGGGAGATAAGAAATGGAACCTCTCTGTTGTGGAGAAACGAAGAGCAGATCTATGAATTTTGTGAGAGAAGAAGAGATGGGAGAAAGTGATTCTTTTGTGTAGAGAGAGATGAAGTGGGCGGTAATTTGGGGAGGGGAATATATTTTTGTTTTTAATGGTAATAAATAATTACTAAATTATATTTTTATAAATGTGCCCTCATTCTTTAGTAGGTCTTTTATTAATTGATCGTTGAGAGATTTGAGTGTAATATCAAGGTCTATGAAATCGTACAGAAGGTTATGACGGGAAAGTAGGGTATTTTGTATGCTTGAATAATTTTTAATTTATTTAGAATGCTTGATCAATTATTATAAAGTTTTTATTTATAATATTTTGTTTATTAGTCGGCGGTTCATTAGTGGTTTCTTAAACTACTTAACACCAGTTAAAACCATACCATCAACAGTTAGGCTGAAAAAAGTACAAACTTAATTCATAATTCATAAGTAGAATATTAACATACAATCAAATTATTTTACTATCACATAACGAATAAAATAACATATTCATCACACTTCCTAATACAAACTTTCCTTCCCACTTTCCTCCATAAAACAACATTTTCCTCCCAATTTCTTTCACTTCCAAATCTCCCCTCCCTTTCTAATTTTCCTTCACCTCCCCTCCTTTTCCTCTCTTCCTTCGGAAACATAGTGTTAGTGACAGCATCCGAAGTGCTATCAAAGTCTTCAAAGTTAACAACCATCAGCTCCACTCCGCTCCGGAAAGGGACGCCATCATAAATTTATATATAAAAAATTTAAAAAGAAAAGGAAGAAAAAGATAAAGAAGCCAAAAGGCAGTGACTCGCTCCGCCTTTCCGGCTCCTAAAAATGTGTACTTTTCCCACCCACGTTTTAGGGAAAACGCCTCCCCTCTCTCCTCTTCTCTAACCCCGCCCGCCGGAATGGCGTTTTCCGACCAGCAGCCGGAAGCCACGTCATCATCGTCGCAGGCCAGGCTATTGGAGATACGAGAGGAAGAAGAACACTGCTACAACACCCATGTCTCCAAATCTCTGAATCGCCTCGACACATTCCTGAAAATCTTCGGCTTGTGCCAGAACTCCATCTTCACCATCCTGCTTTCATGGCTCTGTTTCCTCCTCATAGCAGTTGCTCTCCCGCTCTTCATCTTCCGTTTCTTCTACTCTTCCACCCCCAGCATGTACGAGATCAAGAGCTTCGAGCTCAAGATTTTGGCCTTTCAGTCTCTGGTCGATGCCATCTCCCTCCTCTGCATATCCCACAACCTGCGCAATTACGACGTCACGAAGTTCCTCTTTGTAGATCGTTCTCATGGACACTGTACCCAGCTGGACAGCGAGTACGCCAAAAAAATCAATGTAAGTTGTTGCTGCTTTTATCCCCCCCTTTTTCACTTCCGTTGTAGCTGCACCAAAGCACCAGTCATTGTTTCTTGCGATTATGTTCTGTGATTGAGTTGATGTCGGGCTTTCTTCTTGTAATTGGTGGTTCAAGAATCATTCAGCTACGGAGTTGCTTAGTAGACTTTGATGGTTGGATTTGGTTGCATCAGAGAATCGGACGCAATTGAAAATTGGAGAGACATAACGGGGTTGACATAATGTTGAAAGGTTTGATCATTTGATTGCCTGTGATGTGCTCTTTTGTGGGTTTTTTACCTTAATGGGCAGACACAATTCCCTTGTAAAAGTTGTCTAGTTTTGAACAAATTGGATTGATACAGGGATATCGTGTAGTGTGCAATTTTAGTCTCTGGGACATGAGCTCTTAACTACAGATCTAAACTTGTTGTCAAGTGGTTTGATTTGGCAAGTGTGTTTCCTTTCTTGGGTCCAGGATTTCTTCTACCTACTGGCAGTCTAGCTACTCCCCTGCCTCCTTGTGAAGGCTGCTCGAGAAGGCACTCGTCTAGTATATATGTGGCACGGTCCGTTATGGCAATCTATCGTTATCCTGATATCCCTGACCATCTCCTGGACTTACTCCAGTGTCATCTTCCTCTCGGGCTGCACTTTGTTTAGTTTAGTCTGCAACTTTCAAGTCATACGGTTTGAGCATTACTGCAAGCTCCTTGAAAAGGACTTGGATGTTTCTGTATACATAGAAGAACATATTCGTCTCACACATTACATGTCCAAGATCAGCCACAGATTCGGAATTTTCTTCGTGTTTGAGCTCTTGGTTGTCACAGCTAGTCTGTTTGTGGCTCTGGTTGAAACCACAGGGAATCATGGCCTCATCAATATAATCAATGGTGCTGATTTCGGGGTAAGTATTGTTACTTTGTTATTCCCATTAGGTTATATATATGGAGGATTTAACGTGTTGCTCTTTGTGTTGACTGAAGGGAGTAATTTTGATGATAACGCCCCCATTTCTGATTCTGTAGTCTGTACCTTTTGCTATCAGGTAACAGCTATAGTTTAACTAGTTGGACTTGTGATTTGCCTACACGCAGCTACCAGGGTATCACATAGAGCTCAAGGCGTAGTGTCAGTGGAGACAAGATGGCATTCTATGGCTACCTGTGCTTCCAATGAGACTTCTTCTTCTGCTGCTGCTTCTCAAGTGCAAATCAGCGGCAATGGTGACATCCTGGAACCCTCGGTTCCCCTTTCCTCCGACTTCTTCCACCATACTTATTCCGAGAGCGACTTGGAGGCAGTTGACTATGTCCCGTTCCCTACAAACACAGCACTATCTACATATCAGAAGAGACAAGCTTTCGGTACATCAATCTGTCCCCAATTCTCTGCCACTGTTTCAATTAGTTCTTTCCTATCCTGATTACTGTGTTTTGGTGTGCGTGTGCAGTAATGTACCACATGGCCAACCCAGGCGGATTCACAGTGTTTGGGTGGAGAATAGATCGAGCCCTGGTGAATACCATCTTCTTTCTGGAGGTATCACTGCTATGTTTGTGCTGGGAAAGACCATTACTTTCCCTTCCCTGTGACTCAATTTGGGATGGTCAATAGACTTCAAAAAACTCAACAGCAAAAACAATGTGGAGTTTGTTCGTTTTGTTCTGTCCACCATTGGGATGCTTTTTTTTTATGTTTCAGTGGCGGGACAACTACGTGCTGAACTCTAGGCTGTCCTTTTTTTTATAAAGTTGATATAGAATTATTTTTTGTTTTTTAATACTATTTAAGGGATTTAAATATGTGATCTTCATATTCAAAGCTAATGATATTATTACTAAATTAAGTCCTTATTCGAGAGTATCAGACTGTTTTTGTGATGACTGATACCGAATATGATATAGTTATAAAGAAGCACTAGGTTCAAAGCCCGCGCTTCCCCTTGTTGTTCTATTCTTATTTGATTAAAGTTTGTATTTTGTAAATATGATAAACTGATATAATGTAATTTTCAATGTGAAACGATAAATAAAAACAATTTCATCTACGACCGATTCAAAAAAGAGTGTTCAATCATACATAAGACCATGTTGAAACTACTGAGTTAAAGTGTCATTAAAACACTATACTTCTTAGCTAAGAGTGTAAATTGGACTCGATGACCAATGAGGTCCCAGATTCCAAAATTGGACTCTTTGCAAAAACAAAATATTAGTTCAATATCCTGAAAACGCACAAACATTGTCAATTGCTAAGGATTCAAATCTAAAAAAACGCATTGATGGTATACGCGGCATTAGTCGACTTTAGTTTAACACTCGGAAAACTCACAAACATTGTCAATCAATAAGACTTCGAAAACGAAAAACACATCACCTGGATATTCTTATCGAAATGCACACTAATTCGGGCCTAATTGTACACTTTTATCCCCGTTTCTCTTTGACGTTTGTGGCAATTGATCTCCAAAAGGGGTGGTTTTACGCTAGTTTTCTTGTGTTTCAGTGTGTTTCAGAGTCTAACATGTGAAACCAACCCCGGAGTCGAAAGTTGGAAGAAAAGGAGCAAAGACCAAACAAAGAGGAGGATTCAGCTGATGTTCACGGTCAGGCAATGGAGTTCACGGTCGCCAGGACCGTGAACTAGAACCACAACCCGTGAACCGCGAGGTGTCTAGAGGGCTTTCTGTGGTTACTGACGCCAAGGCTGTTCACAATCGCTAAGACCGTGAACAGGAACCACAAACCGTGAACCCCAGAAGTGAAGCAGTGCATTTTGGTTCAGTTCACTGTGTTCACATACGCATCTTGATGTTCACGGCCGTGAACTGGGCGCGATTTTAGTATAAAAGGTCAGCTGAAAGGAAGAAGAAAGGAGAGACCTAGTGTGAGAAACTTCTTCTTCTTCAGATTTCTAGAGTGAGAAAGTGACAAACCAAAGAAGAGGGGAAGCTAGGGTTTCATCTTCAAGCAAGGAATTGGGAATTTCTCCCCCAAAGGAGGATCTCTTTAACACAAGGAGCAAGGCTAACATCTCTTTGATGGTTTTCCTTCTTCTCTCTTTTGTTTTCCCTTCTCCTAGCATGGAATAGTCCCTTCTTTCACTTTGGTGTTTGTGAACCCAAGCTACTATTATATGAATGTTTGTATGAATTGAATGATTTGTGTGTGGTTGTGTTTAATGTGAAAGTGGAGGTATTATTCATGAATGACTGTGTTATGTGAAAGCCTATCTAATTGCTATTCTAACCTAGGTAGAGAGAACCCCCCCCCCCTTTTCTTTCTTTGAAAGAGGCTTGAATGTTGGGTTTTCTTAGGCCATTCATTGTCTCCTAGTTAGGTTGATGTAGGGAAAACCTCCTATTTCGTATTAGCACATAGGGTTTGGTTGTGGGTGACTGTCCGAACTCCAATTCGAGGGTGAAGTCTAACCAATCCTTAGTCAATAGGTTGAGAGAGTCACATTAGTGGCTTGGATCATATCCCCTTTCCTCGACCTATAGACTAAGAGGGTAACTTTGGCTACTTGTTAGACTTCCCTACGGTTTACAACCCCCTCACCCCACACGGCCATTCGATCCATCAAGTTGCAATTGATAGTTAGGGCGATGAACACCCAGGTAAAGTCTTCTCAATTAGTGTGAAAACCATTTCTCTGTGCAAGTACTTTAGCTTTAGATCTTTGTTTTCACCAAAACCATCCGCTAGATAATGTTTCAAACAATCGAAGTAGCGGTACATGGGCCGGGCCGGGTTGATATTTAAACATACTTTCCCTATATCACCCATCTAAGATTTATATTTGGGCCTTAGGTGGGATTTTATTGTGATAGTCAGAGTGAGTCAAGTTTTTGGCACCGTTGCCGGGTACCTTCGGTCCGTTATCTTGAAAAGATTGTTTGGTGTTAATCTAGCTTTTATTTTCAGTTTTGCTAAGTGTGAAGTGTGCTTATGCTAGACGAAGTTGTGTTCTTTAAGTGTGTGTAGGGAGGTGCATGACCCAGAGCAATCTGGCACCTTTAACACCACTGGACGAGGACATCAACCGAAATCTCCGACTTTTAGCTCGGGAGAGGGAGCTAGCGGAGGCAAGAAGGAGAATTAAAGAGAGGGGACAACTAGTTGGTCCCGGAATTGAAGGGAAAGTTGAAGTTGAGATGGCGGGGAATCAACATCGAGGTGTTAATCTGCTTCAAAACCAAAATGAGGAAGCGGGAGCCGAGGAAGAGCCAAGGACTATGGGCTATTACATGGCTCCACGGGCGGCGGATATCCAATCTCCCATCTTACATTCACCCGTGGCCGCCAACAACTTTGAAATCAAGCCCGCTCTTGTGATGATGATTCAAAACAACGCCATATTCCACGGGCTTGCCAATGAATCACCACGAGAGCATGTCCAAAGGTTTCTTGAACTTGCGGGAAACCTGAAGATAAATGGCATTGCAACTGAGGCTCTTCCCCTATTTTTTGGCGGGGAAAGCTCTCTGATGGCTCAACAACCGTCCGGCTCGATCCATCACCTATTGGGAAGGTTTACTCAACAAGTTCATGACCCGATATTGTCCTCCTTCAAAGACGGCCGAGTGGAGAAAGAAGATCACTCACTTTGAGCAAGAGGAGAGGAAGATGAGACATTGAGGGATGCAGGGGAAAGATTCTCCGACTACTTCCTTCAATGCCCTTACCATGGATTCGAGGAGCAATTTAGGATAGAGACTTTCTATGGAGGACTCATCCAAGATGACAAGATTCTCATCGACTCTCTTTGCCAAGGGAAGTTGATAAACATGACCCCAACTAAAGTGACCGAGTTGCTCGAAGATATGGCTCTCAAGTGATATGATTGGGTCTTGAAAAGAACTGGGAAGAGAAGCACTGACAGAGGAGGACAAAGTGTGGGAGCAAGTGCTCCACTTGAAGCGAAGCTTGACAAGTTAATCGAGGTAATCCTTGAGGACAAGAAGCAAAGGAAGAGAGCGGTGATGCCTTGTGATTGGTGTTCGAGCACTAATCATGAAATTGAGGATTGCCAAGCGATGAAGGAAACAAGTACCCCCGAGGAGCAAGTGAGTTTCATTGCCAATTCTAGAGGAAACAACCCTTATAGCAACACCTACAATCCCAGGTGGCGCAATCGTCCAAACTTCGCTTGGTCTTACCCTACCAATCCAAGAACTCCCAGTTTCCAAGGTCCAACGGGCAACTATCAACCTCGGCCAACTTTCATCCAACAAAGGCCTCAATTCCAAAACTCGAACTTCCAACAACCATGCCAAGCACAAGGTGGTCAAGGGTTCCAACAACAACAAGTCGACAAGTTCTCTAAGTTTGAAGACCTTGTGACCACCTTTGTGAGTACAAGCTCTTAGAAGTTCGAGAAGATTGAGCAATTCATGGATGTGGAAACCTCAAAGTTTACCTTGGTTGAGGTGGGACTTCGAAGTCATCAAGCAAGTCTCCAAAACTTGGAAGTGCAAATCGGCAATCTTGTTGGATCCTTACCGATAGACCAAAGGAAGCCCTACCCTCTCAAACAATTACCAACCCCAAGGATCATGTCGGGGTGAATGCAATTCATTTGAGGAGTGGGAAGGTGACTCCGGACGTAGTTTCCAAAGAAGTGAATGAGAAGGAAGACCCTCTACCCGAGGGTGGAGAAGAAGAAACCTCGGGAGAAAAGAGGGGAGTGGCGAGGAAGGAATCGCCAATGCCATTACCTGTGGCTGAGTACACGTCACCCCTACCTTTTCCCACGAGGGTGCATAAGGAAAGATTGGAAGAGGAATGTGGAGGTTTCATGGAGATAAGAACACTATTTTTCATAGTAAGCAATTATAATATAAAAAAAAATCAAATTCCTAATCTCATTTCTCTCTTTCGCTCTTCCCCAATTCTCCTAATCCCAAAATTCTTCTCTTCTTAATCCCTAAATTCTCAAGTGGGAATTATAGTTTCGATTATCAGGTATCGGAGCCAGAATAAGCTCGTCACAGCTCTTCGATTCCGAGTGGTTCCAACTACAAGAGTTGCAACGACAGGCTTAAGACTAACAGCATCAGAAGGCGTGAGTGAGGGCGACAAAGACGGAGGAGGCAGAGGAGCAGGGTGCAGTGCCAACGAAGGCTGGTGGTGATCGTGCCGGGATACCGCCGCAGTCGGAGAGGGCGAGCGAAAGGACAAACGGCAGCAGAGCGTTTGTGCGAAGCCGCAGGTCTAAGATGAGCTGTCGTTCATCTTGTTGCATTCAATGGTGGGGAAGTCCTCGCCGGGAACGCTTTACCAAGTCAAACATTCAAGATATAAGGGGGCAAAACATGCATAAATATGTCTGAATCAATAAGTTCCCTGAAACAATCTTCTAGTCAAGGTTTCTTTTCTGTTTCTTTATGTCGATGATATGATAATTATTGGGGATTATCATGACGGATTTCAAGAACTTACTACATCTTCCAATGAAACTTTTATCTCAAGGAACTTGGCAATGTCTTACTTTTTTGGCAATCTTCAAGTTATGAGGTGTGAAGTTCCGGCGGTGATAGTGTTTGGGGATTTAATGGTCGACACCGGGAACAATAATGTCATTTCCACTCTTCCAAAGGGCAACTTCCAAGCCTACGATTGTGATTTTGATGGCGACTGGCCACAGGGAAGATTCTCCAACGGCAAGATCCTGCTGGCTGCTGGAGTACATCGCTCAGGCTTTTGGACTGAAGTCGCCAACGTCCCTGCTTACTTGGACCCTAACTATGGCATTACGGATTTCGCCACGGGGGTTTGCTTTGCTTCAATCCTCTAGTATTGGCGATGGCAATGACACGACCGACGTCGAATTCCAATGAGAAAACTGACTTGAAAATTCCTATTTATTTTTCTAGTATTTTTTATTTTACTCCTTTAGTTAACACGTCGACAACTAACGGTCAAACTTCATAATTGATTGCTACTTAATATGAATTTAACAAAATTGCACGGTGAGTGACCACTGATAAAAGAAAATGTAAAGTTAGTGACTAATAAGAAAGAAAAATTGTGTGAGCGACAATCATGAAAATCATAAATTAAGTGACCAAACGTGTAATTTACCCTCTGAAACCGTTTATAAACGGGTCATCCAAATGATCAAAATTCATTAAAGAAGGGAGAATAGTAATTTTCGCACCCTTTGTCTTTTTTTTTTTTTTTCACTATCGCAGAATTTAGAGGAGAGAGGAGATACACTTGACTAATTATAGGATACTTTTTATAATCTCTCATGTTTGCTAATTGAGTCATATCTTTTTAATTTTAATTTGGAATATTAAAAAATTATATAGAAAGAACACATTAATTATGATCTACACAAAGATATTCATTTTGCTATGTTTTGAGGAAAATAAAATTCGGTCTTCAAAACACGTGTTTCTTGTAATATTTTCACTTTCATGTCATAAGATTAATGTGAATGGTAAGACTAAGTCATTTTTGTTGTTAGCATTTGAGGTGATTTATTTAATCAATACATGTAATGATAAGATTAAGTCAATTTTTGTAAGAATAAATGGATTAGTTGATCAGAATATGGACTTGTTGGGAAAGGTCGGCTCATGATGAGAGGGTTTTGAGTGATGCCCTTTTCAGGCCAAGTGTTTTAAAGGTTCGTAGAGCTAAGTTTGACTTCTTTGCTCTCTATAATGTAGTTATATTATACCTAGCCCAATAATCTTTGAAATTTAAAGTTTTATGATGATGATGATGATGGTAGGTTTCTATCATCTTTGTAATGTTGATTAAAGTAATTGTGAGGGGTCCTATCTCCTTTTCGAGATCAATGTTATTACATAAAAAGCGGGGTGAGACGACCAAGAATCCCTTAAGAAAACTCAATAAACAAAAAAAAATGTTAAGCTACACAAAGGTTTGTTCTTGTTTAAGAAGGGCTCCAAGTAGGGTGCATAACCATGATTATGCACCTATCAGTAACTAAATTTGGACCCATGTTTTTAAGTGGGCCCAGAAAATCCAGATCTAAAGTGGAGAATTAAATTGATTTTATTTTTCCCTTGTTTTCTTAATTGGTTCATATTTTTTTCGTTTTAACTCGAATTTCAATTTTTGCATAGATGGAGCGAGTTCGTTGTGCTCTACAAAATGAGATCCATTTTCAATATTTTTTGAGAAAAAAAAAACTTTCATACCTCTCGTTGCCAACTGCATACCATATGAGATCTTTTTCGTTTTTAAGTCGTTAATAGAAACAAACAACAATGAATAGATTACACACACATGCACAGAGAAACACGAGCAAAGCTTACGCCATAGAAAAAACAGGTCAAGAGGAGAAGACGATGGCTCCCCCGCCGCAGTTTCTGAAGCGAGTTCCACGGGCGCAGGGGAAGATGCGGGAGCCATCTTTGTGGACGCACAGCCAAATCTCATGGATCTGCTTGCTGATGGTGCGCCTTCTCCTGACGTTGTTGCAGCTGATGACGGCACTGTAACGGCCCAAAGCGTTCCGAAATCTGTTGCGCGCGTACAACTGGTTGTCGGGCTGGATGCCGTTGCTTCGCAGCTCCCGCAGCAGGTCGACGCCGGATGCCCTGTCCACTGTGGCCCGGAAGTAGCTCTGCAGTGACCAACCGGAGCAGGTGCCGTGCTTGTTCCACTCGTAAGTCCAGAATTGACTGTTGCCATTTCCTCTCCGCACACGTTTCAGGTTCGGCCACTGCCTGTCCATTAACCCCAGCGTAGCTTCGTCCACTTGTCCCTGTTTCATTATTTTTTTCACAAGCAACAAGGAAGCAAATTAATTGATTCAGTACATTTATCTTTCATGCATCTATATATATATATATATGGTTCTATCGTAGGCAATCCAACTGCTCGCATGTTTGGTGTACGATAAATGTCAATATATATATATAGTTCAGGTTAGCGTACGTCGTACATTGTACGTCCATTGAGTTTTACTATTTAATTAGAGCACGAATTAACCAGAGTTTGGGGAATAATACTCTACCCTAACCTCTAATGGTTGAACCCCAGTCCCTAATTCTCTACCCTAGCCCTTAAGCCACAATATTCATTTAATCTAAGAAAATAATAATCGACGATTCTGATTCAGCGAAATATATTGAATTGCAAAAACTAAATGTGAATACATGCGTGCAACGTACGACCTGACGTATGCTAGCCTATATATGACAAAAGTTAGCTTACGGTGTACGGCTGTGTTCACACTTGTCTTGTGCGCTAATTAAGATGAGTACGTTAGTTGCGACTAAGTAACTTTAATTAATGAATGAAGCGTACGCTTCTTCGGACGTCCGGGACTGCGCCAGGGCAGTCTTGAGGGCTGCCACCGCTGTTGGTCTGGGGCCACATCCCATGAATGGTGAACGTCCGAGGAATCCTGGGCTTGCAACGGGCACCGGGTTGGTTGCAGAACGCCGGAGGCCATTGCATGACCAAGTAGAAGAAGTCGAAGTTTTGGGCGTTGGAGGTGGGAGCTAGGAAGCTCAACCAGCTGCAGGCTACCACGGCGGTGGCTACAGCAATCCCATTCACCTTCATGCTTCTCATTTTCGTTTGAGAGACTGATATGCATGTGAAACATATAGCCAGTGAGCACTTCTTTCGTCTGGGCTACCGATTCCATCTAACCCGATTGATGCTTCTGGGTTTCACCTTTTCTTTTCTTTTTCTTTTTAACAATGCTTCTTTGTTTTTGTACGTAATAGGTTCAGATTTGTTGGGGGTCAATTCTATATATTATACATGCTTGACTTTCATCTTACTTGTAGGAGTCTTCAATTATATATATGCGCTCGATCTGCTACAATCACATGGGAAACGTATTACTAGTGGAGGAAACAGGTGAGAGAAACGAAAGGTATTACTAGTGGAGGGGTTTTTATTGGGAACGTGTTTTCTTTCCTTCAATTTTCTTTTCCTAGATTCTGCATTTTTTATTTTTATTATTGATTTCATGGTTGATCTGTAACAGTGTAACTTATATGTGAATTAATAGGATACAAAACCATATTCTACAAAATACTATAAAATCCTAATATGTTGTCATCCAATAAAATTTGATCTAATGACTCACAATTAATAAAAAATAAGAAGCGGTACAAACTACAAACTCATAATTTCGCGCTCCTTTGTTTTTTTATTTGCTTTTCTAGTGACACGGATCTAGAGCAGAGAGTAAATACATTTTTTTACTAGTTAAAGATTACTATTTTAATTTCATATTTTTCTTAATAGAAGCATAACTTATTCGTTTTAACTTGTAATATATAAAAAATTTGTATAGAAAGAATAAATTATGATATACAAATAAAAATTGAAAGTCGACTATATGATTACGGTTAACCGACTAATATAAATGATCCGATTAATGGTAAGCACAAAGTGCTTAACAGTTAACCGAGAATCGACTCAACAGTTATAACCGAACCGAATCAATTGTCAATCCCAATGATAAGACTTCATAATACAGTCTCACTACTGTCATACCATGATCTTACCACTATGGTAATACTGAGACCACCATTATACCAAATTACCAATGTCATATCATGATATTACCACGGTAATAATATCATGATGATATGATAATGGTAAGATGATGTGAAATTGTTGGCTCCAAAAAATCAAAATGGATATATCTCTTAGAAAAAAAAATTGCTTTTTCTATGCAAAACATATCAAAATCGTGGATAAAAAATGGTGTTTTGGTCGAATATTCAAAAATTGACTTGACTTAGTTTCCCTTTAATATTCATACCATGTTGGTTTATATCGCCGTCTTTATTTTTTCTATCAATACCGCTGGTACTATACAATTTCTCCATCCATACCATGAATATAATCTATATGGAAATAGCAAAATTAACATGCGTTGCGTAGTTGATGTTATTACTTAACCAAAATATTTGAAAAATAAATCAATAATTGTGAGGTGTGTTTTATTGTATTTGGTGTTAGTGGCCCACCAATTTTTTGTTGTGATCGACCATGTTGGTAATTACTATCTTAAAACAGTCGCCATTATATGTTAACAGTTAACATAGTTTCTATCAAAATGATCATGATGGTGTAATCAATCGCCTGGATGAGCACATATAGGTCAACCAAATTGTGCAAGTCACGCTGCATTACATGTTGTCGCCATAGGAGTACCTTAATATTATCCAAAATATTAAAACTAACGACACAAATGTTATAAACCACGGGTGTACTGCAGTAAATAAATAACAATGAAATGCATCTAATAAAAAAATTAAAATGCATAATAGATAAATATATAAAGTAAAATATTTAATAAATAAAAAGTAATTATGATCTGCGTCCTTTTTAAAAGGAAAAACCGGCTACGACAAAAAAAACAAAAACAAAAAAGGAAAACTGGCGCTAGTGGGTAATTGATGGGTGGCACCGGCACAAGGCAGGAGATAGGGTCAGTAACCAAGTGGTTACTGACATGTCAGTAATAAATGTGTCGGGTTGTTTGAATTATTTGGCTGGATTGTATGAGGTAGTCATCCGATATGATTATTGGATCAACTATGATCGTCCATGTTCCATTCATTCATCATCATGGTAGCTGTCCAATTACTAAGTAGATGGTGTGAAGAACCAGTAGATCCCAATAACTCGAGTTGTTGTGAGAGATTCAATCGTGGATCATATACTACACACTAACACCACCCCCTCCTCAAACGAAAGCCAGTGAACTCATAAGGGCTTTCGTTTGCACATGTTCTAAACACGGAATACATGTACTTCACAAATGGTGTCACAGGGATTCGAACACAAGCCCTCTCGGTCACAGAAGGCTCTGTTACCATGTCAAACTTCAAGAAATTGATATCCTAAACAAGCATTGAACACGAGATTTACGTGGTTTCGCCAACGATGATCGTTGAGACTAGTCCACAACACAAGACGTTAGGTTATCTTATTCAGCAGAATATCCAAGATACCTACAATAAGTCTCTAAAGACTATATATATGTTTGGCAATCCCCCCAGCCCTACTCCTCATGATACAGGAAATATACATGGACAATTACAAAACAGCCCCAAAACTTCTAGCTTCTAACACCCTCCCTCAAATTGATGGTGTTGATGCAACATCAATTTGTGAGCTAGAAATCAGTGACGAGCAGAGGCTACGGCCTTCGTATGCATATCCGCTGGCTGATCCTCACATGGAATATATGTAAGGTCGATGACACCATCTTTAACAAGCTGCCAAATATAATGGACATGCACCTCGATATGTTTCGTACGATCATGAAGCACCGGATTAGTGACAATCTTGATGGCGCTCGTATTATCAGCAAACAGGAGGATCGGAACCGTGCAAGAAATGTCTAACTCAGCAAGCAGGCGCCGCAACCACACAACCTCATATGTAACTTCACTCATTGACCAATACTCGGCCTCGGTGGAGGAATGCCTAATCTTTACACACCAGCCTGAGGTCGAACGACGAGTATCCAGGCAGCCTGCATAGTCTGCATCAACATACGCGACCAGAGTAGCTTCACCCCCAACAGAAAAGAAGACCCACCTCCAGAGTACCACGAAGATAACGGAGGATCCGCTGAACAACATTCTAGTGACAAGTACGAGGAGCAACCATGTACTGACTAAAACCTGAACAGTATATGCAATATCCGGACAAGTGTTGGTCAGGTAAATGAGACTCCCAACAATACTGCGATAGATAGTACCATTCTCCAATAAATCTCCATCAGACTGACGGAGCTTCAGATTCTGCTCCATAGGCGTACCACTCGCAATGCACTCATCCATGCGAGCCTCCTCAAGAAGGTAAGCAACATACTTACGTTGACTCACATGGATACCAGCAGTAGAACGAGCAATCTCCAGAACCAAAAATAAGACAAATCCCCAAGCTCCTTGAGATTAAACGCCTCTCGCAGTATCGCAGTAAGCTCATTAATGCCCTGCTGATCATCCCCACTAAAAACCATATCATCAACATAGATAAGCAAAACAATCATACCATGATCTGTACGGCGAAGGAACAACGACGGGTCACTATCACTCTGAACAAAACCAGCACGCAAGACTATGCTCTGAAGCTTCTTAAACCAAGCCCGAGGAGCTGCTTAAGGCCACAGAGGGAGCGTCGAAGCAAGCACACCATAGAACTGTCACCCTTGGTATATCCAGGAGGACGTTCCATGTAGATATTTCCCTTCAGTTCACCATGGAGAAATGCATTTTTTACGACTTACTGCAACAACTGCCAACCTTTCATGGTGGTAACATCGAGTAAACTCTGGACCGTTTGCATCTTGGCAATCGGAGCAAATGTTTCGTCATAATCCACACAATACTGATGTTTGAACCCCTGAGCAACAAGCCAAGCCTTACTACGCTCAATAGAGACATCTGGGTTCTCCTTGAGAGCATATACCTACTTATAGCCGATCATAGGAATACCAGGAGGACCCGGTACGAGATCCCACGTATGGGTCGCATCCAAAGCATCACATTCAATAGTCCTGGCAGTCTCCCAACGGTCAATGCCACGAGCGTGCTTGTAGGTGGAAGGTACAAACCCAGGCGAAGTAGTGGAGAAAGCCACAAAGTTTGAGTGACGAGGTGGAGTCTGGCCACGAGTGCTGCGCTTGGAGCGCCGGAGAACATGGCTGGATGGACCCGAGGAAGTCGAGGAACCACTCAAAGACGAGGTATAAGTGGAAGAATAAGAGGCCTTGCCGATGGACTCAATAGAGGAAGACGAGGAACTGGAGGAAACGATCGAAAGGGGAGAGGGCGGACCATCATCATCATCGGCAACCATGGAGATAGATCTGAAACTGGGAAGAAAAGTGAGGAAGTCCAGGTCCAAACGATCAGGTTAGCTGCTCGCACCATAATAGAACTCGTGCTCTAGAAAGACCACATGACACGAGATACGAACCCGATGAGTTGCAACAATTTCAAATAAAGTCCCCCAGAGCAAGAATCGCACACTCGCCGATAACATACCAACCATCTTACAATAGTTGCACACATTGCGTTTGAGACAGGAGATCTGAATGCGACCAAGTTCTTTGCAATGGTAGTAAATAATCTCACCTGACGGAGTATGACCAAATTGCGGGCGGCCAGATTGTACAGCAAAGACAGAACCCGACTCCGATGAATGTACATCAAGTTTCTCCTAACTATGAAGGCGAGTTTCCTCGCGAATAAGCTTCGGTAACACCTCCTCCATCTGGCTCACATTACGATGAAGTAGGGATGATCGAATACCCTCAAATGCGAGATTGAGTTGCGTTAGAAAAGTCATCTGACGGTAGCTAGCTCGCTCATTCAGGAACTCAGTAGAGGCCGCAATAGAGATCAGGGAAGAGGTGAACATATCATGCTCCAGCCACAGGTTGAGAGCTTCCTGATAATATGTACAAACGTCCAAATCACCCTGCTGCAGAGAAGCTAGGGCTAGTTCAATCTTGAACTTCCGGGAGGCATCCGCCTAAGAGTGAATCTTATGGAGGTGCTGCCACATAGCATGTGCTGACGGAAAGCTCCTCCAACTCAGCGCTATACCAGGATCGACGGAAGTAAGAAGTGAAGAAGTAACTTGGGCATTAGAGGGCAGTTAATCATCATCTCTCCCCCCAAAACCCTAATTGAAAGTCTATAAATAGACTTACAGGGAAGAGGAGTTTGGTAGCTAGTGATAGGAGGCATTAGAGGGCAGTTACTCTGCCAAAAAAGTGACCCACTTGACTTAGAGTGTCGTTGGTTACTAGAGGGAAATCAGTCCCTAGATCAACAGTCTAGTCCTCGAAATCTTTGTTCGGGATGCCGATGTAGAGAACTCCTTGGGATTTTCATTTCAAATGATGAATCCCATGGATCTCATCCCCACAACCGGCTAGTTCCTTTAGTTGCATAGGTTTCTAGCCCTAGAGTTTCTTGCCAATGTAGTGTCGTAGCCAGGATTTCACTCAAGGTGGGTCCAACGTAAAAACTAAAAAATATAAATAAATTTAAATGACCTATGACATATTTTTATAATTTGTCCATTGATTTTCCATTGGGATTGGATAATTCTACACTAAATTATAAATTAGGAAACTCAGAATAAACCACTAGAGACACAATTATATGTAAAATCTAGAGTTATTGACATAATATGCAAGGTTAATATGTGCTACAAAGTTCTGTGCAATATGTTGGTAGACAAGTAAAACTAGTGAACATGTAGTGTTTGGTTTGAATATTAGGAGTTTTATAAAAATATTGTTATTATTTTGTGCCGAGCAAAGGACCCACCTCTTCCAAGCTAGCCTCGCACTGTGGTGATGTATTCTCGATTTGGCATATATATTATTGACTTTATTCGTCTTATAGTATGTGTTTGATTATTTTATTTTATCTTTTGTTGAATTGAATGAGAGCCTAAGTCGAGCTTACTCCCTTCTTTTGTATTATAGTCTTAAAAGACCGTGGGGTGCATATGCTGTTTGCGGAAACTTCTCTGTTTCCGAAGGAAGGAAGGGAAATGGAGGTGAAGGAAATTTTGGAGGGGAGGAAAAGGAGGTGAAGGAAAATTTGAGAAGGAGGAAAAATGTTGTTTTATGAAGGAAAGTGGAGAGAAAAATGTGAGAGAAAAAATATATTGGGAAATGTGATAGATATGTTATTTTATTAGTTATGTTATAGTAGAATAATTTAAAATATATTGATATTATTTTTATTATTTATGAATAGTGAATCAAATTTATTATTTCTTGTTAATTTGGTTCACTATTAAAAAAAATTCTTGATTTAAAATCTCGTTCATTTTAACTTGATTTTTAAAAAATTGCACACTGATTTGGTATAATCCGGCCCAAATATCATTTGGTTCGGTGCAGTCCAGACCATTGCACCCCGATAGTCATGTCTAGGGATGTCAAAAATATCTGTAACCATGGACATCCACCCGAATCCAACCTAATCGGATAGGGTAATACCCAAACCCGAAGGACTTTTACTGGGTATGGGTAAAACCCGAACTCGAATATTGCGGGTAATGGGTGAGCATGGTTTTCTTACTATCCAACCTGAACCGCCCGATTATACACATGCATATCTATTTTGTCTAAAAACAATCAATATCTTTCTCTAACATAATTTATATTTAGCATATAATATTTTATGAAATTGTGTTGTTTTAATTATTTCTCATATATCCTAATTTCTAACTAATCCGGACTAAAACGATCGAGCCATTCACCCTCAACCCACTTTTCCACCGGGCCAACGAACTATTATCATATCCATTAATTTAAAATTAAATTATTGTTCTTATGAAGTATACCAATGACCCAGTTAATTTGCTCGTCCCTTTTATCTTCCCACCATTAATATTGCCCTATTATCTCATCATATTTATTAATTAAATATAATCCTTCCTATAAATTCCCCGCCATTTATCACTTTCCCCCGATTTTATCACTTTCCCCCCAAATCGGGGGTGAGAGTGGAACAGTATAATTTTCTTTCAATTTTCCATCTCTTCGTTGGTTTAGAGTTAGGTAACCTAATTCGCTGCATTAGCTCCGCCGCTCCCGCTTTGGAGCGTGGAAGCGCGAATTTTTATTGGGGCGGCTACAATTCGCGAATTCTATTTGTACAGAGCGCGAATTTCAATTGACGGAGCGCGAATTTCACAAGGACCCATCGCTTCCCTACTCAAGGAGATGTTTGATTCTCCAAATGGCTTCCGACAATTCAGTTCTCCATCGCCGCCCAACCACATGTGCTAGCCCAGGCAAGACTTGCAACTGCTCGATGTCATCGAGGCACACTAAAACTTAGCTACGTCGTTGAACTGCTCGATGCTCTTTCACTCGTCGCCGACCGCTCGGGATTGAGAATTTATCAAGAGATAATTTACCGAGCGAGCGACGGGTGGGTTGCCGAGACGGACGGCAACCAGCAGGTACAGGGCCATGGAGAAGAGGATTTTCAGTGGTCAAGGATGGGGACAGTCTGGGTTGCGGAGAAGTCGTCGACAATCTGCGGGATGAAGGAATTGTGTGGTGGACTGGTGGCTGGTTGGATAGGAAATTCTCAGGCGGATTTGACTCCAACGAGCCAAAGAAAGCCTAAAAGGGTGAGAAGAAGATGATAATGAATAAGCCGGTTCCCTTTTTCTATAGCTATTTCTCAATCCTTATCCTTTCAATTACACCTGGGTTTTTTTATTATACTTGAAAATTGCTATATAGTCCCTATAAATATAGCGATCACGGTTACGTCATAGTATTTCCACATGCATTCAAATATCAGTCGTTTTAAGAATGAAATGAGAGTATAAACTATAAACCATGGAAACAATTAAAAGACTAACTAATTAATTCAGTTTTTATATTTAATATTATATATAAAAGCTGAGTTAGAATCCGAGAAGAACTGATTACATACTTGACTAATGTTCTAAGTATACAGGTTTGTGCTTCATTATTTATTCAAGTTTGTTACTCAAATAATAATATAATATTAACGCTTTTATCACGCTCTCAATGTTAAGTTCTTCTAAACCAGACGCTCTCACGCTCTCGTTCTTGCTCCCGCTCTCGCTCTCGCTCCACGAACTGGTTACCTAAGTTTAGAGAACAACATAAAGTTTTTTTGGAACCACAATTTCCACCCTCTTTCCTTCCCCTCCACTTTCTCTCCTAAAAAAACACAGCGTAAGAGTTGGGGTGAGGGTATACTTGTACTTTATTTTTTAATAAATAAAATCCAAAACACAAGCGAATTTAGATAATTTTATGTACAAAATTGGTAATAACTCGTTTGAATGAGGATATACAATTTGTTATTTCTTCTTGATTATATTGAATTAAAAAATGAGATGTTGTAGTATTTTGTCTAAATTTTGATAATATATTTAAAAAATCTTTAGATATAATAAATTACTAATATTGTGATTATATAATTCTGTGAAAACAAACGTTCTCAACTCTCGTTTTGAAATAATTCGAAATGATTCTACCAATTCATCGGTAAAAATTAAAAACCCATCAGTTCAGGTGACCACTGACCAATAGATAGATAGATCCATTCTTAGACTGCACCTTCTTGGCTGCCTTCCCTCGCTCTTTCTCTCATTTATACAATTATACTCCTTCTGCTATCTTTCTTCTCTCTTTTCTTTTCTTTTCGCTCTTACGATCTCTGTTTCTCTCTCTGGTATTTCTTTCTTCTTCTCTTCTCTCTGTGTCTGTCTCTCTCTCTAGGCAAGAGAGGGCTCCAATTTTTGACTCTGTCTCTCTAGGGTTTCTCGGAATCAACACGGGGTTGGGTTCAGGCGCGAGATCCAGGTTTTTTGAATTGGATTTCTTCTCCACTTACATAATAATTCATAAACCCCCATTCTTCCCCCCTCCTCCTCTCACTCCCTCTCCCTCGGCCTCTCTAGGGTTCGGGTGTGTGAAGCATTGGTGTTGTGTGACTTCAATGTCTCGACCCATTTGCCATTTCTTCTTTCTTCAATTCGATCTAGGGTTTCTTTCTGTCAATTCCTTCGGTGCGCGTATCTAGTGAGTGTTCCTTCTTCCGTTTTCAATCCTTCTTTCGGGTGCTATTTTTCAATGTATTCCTACTGCCCCATAATTTCCTCACTTGACAGGATCTTGCGAGAGAATATTTGTTCCAAGTAAATAGAAAGCCACTTTCTTTCTCTCCCCTTTTCGTTTCTTAACCTCACAAGTGATTTTCTTGGTTTGTTTCGGTTCTGAATTTATGCCGGAGTTGATTCTCCCCTGCTATATCTGTCGATATCACCGTGTTTAATATTGTGCGGTGTTGCTTGAGAATCGGCGCATCCTGTATCAGATGTATTGCTGAGGATACCTCTAAGACCTGACATTGATTCTTTGGCTTCATTGTGATTCCAAAGTGCAAGGGTATCAGTAAATGAATACGGTAAACATGCATTGAATTGAGCTATTGAGCATTGGCAAGGATTTAGAGTTGTGGATCTGATTATGTTACCAAACTGAAGTTTAGAGTGGAAGCTGACATGTGCATTAACTGGAGGTCAGTCTTATGGCCCCAACTGTTCCAATAGATTTTGTTGGGCAGAAAGAATCCAAGAAGTTTGGTCTTTCACAATCAATGGGGAAGTCACGGAAGTTTTCTAAAGGTCACTCCTCGGGTTTCTTTCCTGACTACAGGCACGGTGTTGAGACTATGGGGGAGTCTGAGGGGTTTGGCAGCTCGGGTCGTGTGGAGACCGAGATGATTACATCTGAGAATTCTTATGCTCCCAAGAGGAAATGTGTTAGTTTGAATCTAGTTGGTTATGAAAGTTTTGGCGTGCCAATGCAGGTTCTATCTTTGTCAAAGATGTCCAAGTCAGAGAGGAAGAATTTGGAATTAAGGTTGAAAACTGAACTTGAACAAGTTAGGATAATCCAGAGGAAAGTAGCTTCTTTCAGTTCAAACACTGTTTTATTATCCCCCCACAGTGATATACGAAGCTGTAGTGATGGTCTAAAGAGGCCTCCATTAGAGGGTTTGCTTCAGTCAGCTGAACCATTTGCTCCACAAAGCAAGAAACAAGTTCCTGGTGGACGTCATGGTGCCCGCCCTAAGAATGGGTCCTCTGGGCACGTGGAAGCCGTGAAGCCTGCCGCACAAGCAAATCCTAGTAATACTCTTTTACTGAAGCAGTGTGAGAGTTTGTTGAACCGCCTAATGACACATCAGTATGGATGGGTGTTTAACACCCCAGTTGACATCGTAAAGTTGAATATACCAGATTACTTTACCATCATTAAACACCCAATGGATTTGGGCACAGTTAAGAGCAAGATCACCTCGGGGGATTATTCTAGTCCTTTGGCCTTTGCTGCGGATGTGCGACTTACATTTGCAAATGCTATGAAGTACAACCCTCCTGGAAATGATGTACATGTTATGGCTGACTCTCTCAATAAATACTTCGAAGTCAGATGGAAAAATATAGAGAAGAAGCTTTCTGTAGTTGCATATGATGAATCAATGCCTTCAAGTACTGCTGATGGGGAAATCGATACATTAGGTAGTGTACAACCTCCAAAAAAGAAGAAAATCACACCCACTAAGAATAAGGTCAAGGCACAGCCCGTTAGGCCAGTCATGACTGATCAACAAAAGCAGAACTTGAGTGCTCAGTTGGAGACTTTGCTGACTGAATTGCCAGAAAGCATTATTGATTTTCTCAAAGAGCAAAGTAGTAATGATGGTCGTGGAGATGAGGAAGAGATTGAGATTGACATTGACGCACTAAGCAATGATACATTGTTTAAGTTAAGGAAGCTTTTGGATGACTATTTACTAAAAAAACAGAAAAGCCAGGCTAAAGCAGAACTATGTGAAATGGAGGTAACTTTGTCTGTCTACAAATGTTTGTGTCAATTACTTTTTCTATTTGGTTTCGCCATCCCAATGAAGTGTGTTGGTGGTTTAATGCGTTGTATAACTGATTGTCGGGATAATGTTTCCTGGTTCAGCTTATTAACGTTTCTGGATTAAGCAATTCATCATTGCAGCCATACAAAGGTAAATTCATTAATCTTATTGATATCTTAGTATACTATTCAGGGCATGCATTGCGCTCATAGTTAAATTCTAATTATTGATATGGACAATGATCCAGTTGAAGAAGATGTTGACATTGTTGGAGGAAAAGATCCCCCTGTTTCAAGTTATCCCCCCATTGAGATACAGAAAGAGGCGGCTCATAATACCATTAAATGCAGTCATTCAAGTAGCTCTAGTAGTGAATCAGGCTCTTCTTCCAGTGGTTAGTGTTCCTCTACACTCTGCATAATCTGTAGAGTTTGTAATGTCTCTTAAATGATGTAATACCAATCTTTCTTACATTCTGCTTATGCATTACTGACATTAGGGGTATTATTAATTTATTATTGTCCCTTCAAAATCCATTACAGGTATCTGTATGAACACATGAGCAATAATCACTTTCTGTTCTTATCTTTTGCCAACGAACAAGCAGCTTCTATTGTCTTAAGTGTTCCCTTTTATTGAATAGCTTAAGAGCAAAGCACTTTTATACTTGTTCTCTCCTCGATCTGTTGATCCTACTCCTTCTAATGCAATTGTTTTTTCAGTCATGAAATTGTACAACAAAGAAAGTTTTTTATGTGAAATTCTTGAATGGGTAGTATCCAAGTAATATCAGGTTCTCCCTATTATGTTGCTTGACCCTTGTTATTTCTTATTGTGAATTTAGTTACTAAGGTGATCTGGAGGGCGAATTTCTTTGTAAACTAGCATATAATCTATCATGTTTTACTCTTATTGAAGGATTTATGTGGTAATCAACAAGTTCTATTTAAACAGGGTTCGGATGAAGGCAGAACTTGTTGATATAGAAGCTAGGTGATGGTTGCACCTTATCTTTGAGAAGCTAGGAAATGTCTATGACTGTATGTTTTCAATCAGTAGGAGGTCCTTAGAGGTTATTAGGAGAAATTGAATTTTTCTATTGGAAGTTGTGAAATTCTTTTGACCATGTCAGGGTCAATTATGTTGTTAGAATGTTCAAATGATTGTCAAGTAATAGATAGATCCACTACTTTTTTTAATTTTAAGTGGCTGTTGTACATGGTGAATATTTGAATTAGAGTAGAGCTGCAAATGTAGAAATTTAAATTGAAAGAATAAACAAAAGTCGGGTGCTCTCTTTTTAGAGTCATATTTTGAAGATGGGAGATGTTAAAGAGATGTATTTGGTTGGGGGAAGTCGTTTATTAGCTATTTCATAGGTTTGACTGTGTACCTATAGATTTTATCAGACGGAGCCTATGAATTTTGAAGTGACTGCTTAATTTCAACTTTCTAGCTTTTGTTTTCTCTCATCTTTGTCGAGTGATCAAAAAGTTTGGTGTAAGGCCTGTGCTCAGTGTGGTTGCCTATGAATGTAAAAAAAAAAAAAAACACAATATTTTTGGATATCTCCCTTGGCATTTCAGGAAGAAGTTTGTTGTTCCTGTCATTTCGGAACATTTTGTTTAATACTGGCCTAATACAATTATTTTTCTTGCCTTTGCACTTCCTCAGATTCGGATTCCGGAAGTTCATCTTGCAGTGAGCCTAATGCAGTTAAAGCATCAGCTCCTGGTATTGTTTCCAAGGTATAGTTGATCTGTTTGACAATCTTTGAACGAAAAGTATGAATACAGTCTCTGCTACTCAATGCTTAATTTTAAAAGCCTCTTATAGACTCCCTTTGCATGTGGGCTAAGGTCCCCACTTACCATTCATGATGCTGTTCTATTTTCAGGGAAGCATGGCAGTGGAGGAAACTTCAGCCCAAAAGGGTAGTGCTAATAGTGACTTGGTCATAAGAAATCGTGAGTTTTTTGTTCCTCCCCGCACACCTCACTCCAATATTCTTCCTAGTTTCCTTTCTTTGTGTATCGATCATTACTTTCTGTCTTAATCAAACTACCATTTGCCCATCCCAAATGAACTTTCTAAGGTCGATGATATCCTGAAGTGTCACTACATCTTATCTTGGCTTAGAATCTATAGAAGGGGTAGCCCAGACTGAGGTTAATTTCCAGGACAAGTCATTAGTGGCTGAAGCAGATGGACATCCAGAGGAGGGTAAGCATAGTCATTAAGAAGACATGTTTGAAGCTGTTAGTTTTTAGGCCCCCTCATCTCATGCACGATGCTGTGCTTGATTAGAGGAGAGTGCTCCACCTGAAAGGCAAGTCTCCCCTGAAAAGATGTATCGAGCAGCCTTGTTGAGGAATCGTTTCGCAGACACCATACTTAAAGCTCGTGCGAAGGCACTTGAAAAGGTGCAGTCATTGTTGGTTGGCATTTATGCCCTAGCTTTTGTGTCATGATTTTTTTTATGGCTAATATATTGCACACAGTGCTCAATTATATGAAATCTCATTTACGCAGGACGAAAAGCTGGATCCTGAGAAATTGCAGAAGGAGAAAGAGGAACTTGAACGACGGCAGAAAGAAGGTTGGTAAACTAGTCATGATTGATGAAAAAGTTTTAAGTATATTAGTATATATTAGAAGACCATTATCTTCTTATTTTTTTGGTACCAGAAAAAGCTCGGTTGCAAGCAGAGGCGAAAGCTGCAGAAGAGGCCAAGAGAAAAGCTGCAGCTGAAGCTGCAGCTGAAGCGAAGAGGATAAGAGAACTGGAAAGAGAGGCAGCGCGACTGGCATTGCAACAGGTGATGGTGACACAGCATTATGTAACCCTCAAATTAAAATGAGATTCTTCTCCAGGGACCTGACGATATAAAGTTCTTTGCCCCACAGATGGAGAAGACTGTGGAGATCAACGAGAACAGTCAGTTTATGGAAGACCTGGAAATGCTTAGGACAACCAATGATGAGGAGGTGCCTAGCTTTATGGAAGAAACGCTGAGCCCAGAGCACAACCCCCTTAATGCTTTGGGCAGTTTCAATCTTCGAAGTAATCCACTAGAACAACTTGGTTTATTTATGAAGGACGATGAAGAGGAAGAAGAGACGGCAGAGAAAGAACCCCTAGAAGAGATGGGGGAAGGAGACCCCCCCAAGTGTACTGAAAATCTAGAGAAAGATGCGGAGGAAGCGGGAAAGGATGTTGAGGAAGGGGAAATCGACTGAATAATATGGGTTCGTTTTGGCTGTTGGGACATCGTGATGGAGTCACCTGCCCTATATCCAGCTTTTAGAATTGTGTGACCCGTACTGGTGTGCGCCTCCATCCATGTCTCCAGCCTTGGATGGAACCCCGCGATGATGTCACCTGCCCTATACCAGCAATGTTGTGGAGATCAATAACAATCTTCTGTAAGGGAAAGGTAATCGAAGTATAGTCTCTGGATCTTGGTTGAAGTGTTGCATACTGGTGGGTCAATATAGCTAGCTGATACCAAGTGTTTTGGCAGCTGCTTAGTATACTGTCGGCGACTGCTGCCAGGCTACCACTGGCTGGTGAGACAAGGGTGGGAATTTGTTTTTCATTCCTTTTTTTAGGGGGGGGAGGGGTCATTCCCATGGCTGTAAAGATGGGAAATCCAAGCTTTGTAAATTGCCCATTTATTTCTCTAGTATTTTACTGAGAGGGCACTGCGATGGGTGTTGGATAAGGTTTGTGATATAAACTGGAGGATATAATTTTGGACTGCGGCGATGATGATGTTTCCACGACATGAACTAGGATGCTATTGATTCCACGACATGATGCAAGAACAATTGAATAATTGCTTTCTTTTGTTGATATTGCACTTGTCAATTTTGGCATCTGGCCGAAATTACATGTTGAAATTACATCAAAGATGGGCCAGCAATATTTTTCTCACCACTCACCAGTGTCATTTTAGGCAGTATGCCTCTGTTTAATGGAGTTAAAATTGCAATTTAAAATTTAAAAATTTACGATTTTACGCTACTATATTATCAAAAAAATTTCGTTTTCATATAAAATCTTTAGTTAATAAAATCGGACTAAATTGCGGTTTAAAGCTTTAAAACTTACGCCAACAATATGATACATTTGTGATTATAAGATACATACTACGTACTTGGATGCATTCCCAAGTAATCTAATTCACCAGTTAGGCCCTTCTCAAATTCTTTAGCATAGATGGGAATGTGGCTTATTGTTAAAATCTATGTTTATGAACTTATTGTTAATATGCTATGAGTTGATCTATTTTATACTTGAATTGCAGGTATTTATTGACTTATCTAAATTATGTGCACTCATATTTTACATAGTATATGTCGTACTTAACAGATTTTTAGTAATTTTACAGTATGGGTAAAGACGACTGTGGTGAGTGAGCTCTTTTCCATTGACTTTCGTGGTTATCCACATGCCTCCGAGTAAGCCTCCCCTAAATCCATGTCAGTCACCTCGATCTATGATATCGTATCTAAGGCATTAAGCACATAGCTCTTTTCAATGAGTACTACCCACCATCCACACTGAGGTTTTATCTCGGGTTCTATCTAGGAAGGCATTCCTATGGCAGGGGTAAGGCCGCGTCATCCACCATATGATCATATTCATACATCTAACCTCAATTTGCTTGATGGCGCAAACCCGTCTAACCGTAGAACTCCATACCCAGCGTAGAATCTCAACTAGGCTAGTAGAGAATAATAGGGCAACTTACTCAAACACAATCAAAGCTATAGAATCAATGAAATAAAATAGATAAACACATACATTCATTAGAACACTAAACTATCCATTCATTACATAGTAACCCTAGAACTAGGGTTTGGGGTTTAGAAACCCTAGTACCTTAGAGAACTACTCCATAAAAGAGGGAAGAAGATACGTAGAAGAAATTGGGGAAGACGATGTTGAGGAAGATGGCTCCTCTCTTCTAGATCCTCCTCTTCTCCTTCCTTCAATAGGTGAAGAAGTCTTCTATTTATAGCCTTCAGAGGACGGATAAGTTCACGGTCAAATAGCATGAAGATCGCGGCCGCGATCTTCCACCTCGAGGCTGTGATCTGCAACCTCCGCCATTTTGGCCTTCAGGCATGAGTAGTTCGCAGGCTGACTTCATGGTCGCGTTCCGTGAAGTGCGACCGCGAACTTCCTCGCGGTCAATATGAATTGTGGCCGCGAACGGACTGGGGAAACTCACTGTTTCTACTCGTTGGCTTCTTCACGAAGTTTGCACCCTCATCCTCCTAGATCGTGGCTGCGATCTTTGCCTTGAGTTTGTCGTCTTTGTTCCCGACCGTGATCTCCACCTCTGGGCCACGATCATCAGCATTCTGCCCCTTTTTCTACACTTGTGTCCTTTTCGTACCTAATTTGCATGTATTGTCTAAAGCACCCTAAAATCACATCATAATCAAATAGGAACGAAATAGGGATGCAATCTACGCTATTCAAATGATTATGCACATAAATTGACATGAAATAAACCACGTTATGATGATAAATAACACCAGTTTAGGTGTTATCAGGTAGATGAACCGCCTAGGTTCGATAATTGAAAAAGTACTTTATCTCTACTACACCTGTCTTAGGATTATACTTGGCCTACGGTGGGAGTATGCAATAGGTCATGAGTTAAAATGTCTTTCCCTTCTGTATTCCTCGTCCAAAGTAGTATAGGTTTTCTTTTCTGCAATTTTTTCATTTAGTTTTTATTGTAAAACTGGAGGAAATGACTTGCTCTGGCTATAACAATAAAATCCCACCTAAGGCCCAAGTATAAACCTTATATGGGTGCAATATAGGGCCATTAAATATCGACCCGGCCGGCCCATGTACCGCTACTTCGACTGTTTGGAACATTATCTAGCAGATTATTTTTTGGTGAAAACAAAGGTCTAAACTAAAGTACTTTTCAAATGTAAAATGAATTTGACATTAATTGTGAAGGCTTCACCCGAGTGTTGCTCCCCCTAGCTAACAATTACGACTTGAAGAATCGAACGACCGCGTGTGGTTAGGGGGTTATAAACCGCAGGGAAGTCTAACAAGTAACCAAGGCTACCCTCTTAGTCTCTAGGTTGAGGAAATGGGATATGATCCAAGCCGCAAATGCGACCCTCTCAACCTATCGACTAAGAAATGGTTAGACTTCACCCTCGAATTGGAGGTCGGACGGCCACCCACAACCAAACCCTAAGTGCTAATATGAAATAGGAGGTTTGCCCTTAATTAACCTATAATAGGAGGCATGAAATGCCCAAGGAAACTCATCTCTAATAGAACCTCTTAGGTTAAGGAGGGTTCTTTCTAAACTAGTCTAGGAGGCTTTGAATGCCCAAGGAAACCCAACTCAAATTGAGCCTCTTTGGATAAAGGAGGTTTCCTCTCTAAACTAGCCGATGAGGCATGCAATGCCCAAGAACACTCATCTCTAATTGAGCCTCTTAACCTAAGGAGGTCTCCTCTCTAAGCTAGGTCAACAAAGCACACACGATCATCATGAAAAATACCTCCACATTCACATTAAACACAACCACACACATATCATTCAATTTTACAAGCATTCACATAATTGTAGCTAGGGTTTACAAACACCCAAGTGAAAGAAGAGACTACTCCATGCTAGGAGAAGGGAAAACACAAGATAGGTAAAGGAAAACCATCAAGAAGATGAAAGCCTTGCTCTTTGTGTTGAAGAGATCCTCCTTTGGGGAAGGAATTCCCAAATCCTTGCTTGGAGATGAAATCCTAGCTTCTCCTCTTCTTTGGTTCGTCACTTTCTCACTCTAAAATCTGAAGAAGAAGAAGAAGAAGTTTCTCACACCAGGTTTCTCTCTCTTCTTCCTTTTAGTTGGCTCTTTAAACTGAGATCGAGCTCAGTTCACGGCCGTGAATATCAAAACGCGTCCGTGAACTCAGTGTCAGGACCAAAACGCACTGCTTCACATCCTGAGGTTCACGGTTTGTGGCTGCTGTTTAAGGTCTTAGCGACCATGAACACCCTTAGCGTCAGTAACCTCAAAACCCTCTCTGGGCGCTCCTTGGTTCACGGATTGTGGCTCCAGTTCACGGCCCTGTAAGACCGTGAACTCCCATGTCAGATCGTGAACTACTGCTGTCTCCTCCTCTTTGCCCGGTCTTTGCTCCTTTTCTTCCAACTTCCGACTCCGGGGTTGGTTTCACCTGTTAGGATCTGAAACACAAGAAACTCGCGTAAAACCACCCATTTTTTAGTTCAATTGAAACAAACGTCAAAGCGAAAAGGGGGTAAAAAGTGTACAATTAGGCCCGAATCACGAACCTCAACCTCGTTTTAAACACCATAATATACATCCCTCACTATGTGAGTAAGTGGGAGGCCCTAGGGAAATACGATTATGGTTTACTACTAGGTAAATTTGGCCTTATTTTATGACGAATCAGCAGAACACAAGTTCCATGAAGCATACCAGAAACCTCATTAAGCATACCACATGTTTATTAAAATCAGACAAGTTCCGTAAAACATACCAAAAACCTCATAAACTTGGACCCATTTGTAAATTTTTAAAGTTCATGTATCAAATTTAAGATATAAAAATATTGGTACTAAAATATAATTTTTCATCATTATTTTCAGGACATGGAAAAAAAAAATTAGGTACTAAATCAAAAAAATTATTAGATTTAGTGACCAAGCTATAACCCAAATCCATGAGGCGAAGAGGGAATGGAGTTGCTATGAGTGACAGAGTGAGTAGTTACTATAACATCCTTAATCCTTAATGAATTATGTTAGCATCAACTCAAATTAAAAAGAAAAGATATTATTCACTAAACAGAGGTACGTACCTCATGAATGTATCTCTTGGTGTGCTTTGCTCTCTAGAACGAAACTAGATCGTGGCCCGGCTGGTAGGCCGGGAATTTGTTTTTAAAAAATTAATGTTTCAACTTTTAAATGAGAATCTTTCACCAGTTACTATCCAATACCATTTCTTCATTGAAGTTATGACTAAATTATTATAGCTTGACAATTCAATGAAAATATGTAGAGTCAAAACTCAGATTGGATGAAAAATTAGTTTTAAGTTTTAATTTTAATTGGGAAAAGTGTAATTCGCCCTCTTTTTTTTCATTATCCGGGAACTCCAGCCCCGTGTGCCACTTTATAACAGCGTGTCTTGCTAAATCTTATGGCCACTTGCATTCAATTCGACACCAACGGGACTTCGTCCCGAGCAGCCTTATACCTCCGGGAACACCAACAGGCCTCGTTTGGATTCGAACATGAAATCTGCAACTCCCAAACCTCCACTATTACGGCCAATGTTGTCAGAACCGAACCGGAACATGACCCGGTAATGTGAACGGCTCACACTTTAGTAGTCCAACCGGTATTAGACCGTTAGAAACCCGTTAGAGAACCGACACCTTATAAAAATAAATATTATAAATTGAAGACACATTAATTTAACAATTTATCAACTAAAACGAAATTTACATTTCAAGTACCATTTAGGAATTTTGCATTATATATATATATATATATATATATATATATATATATATATATATATATATATATATATATATATATATATATATATTACCCCTTAAAAACAATCCTACCCCATTTGTACCTAGCCGCCGCCCAACTCTTGGATTCATATCTTATTTCCCCAGGCAATAGTGGTGAGGCCGAGATTTCCTCAACAGTCAATCGCGATTTTGGATTTCTCCAAGACCCTCACGCTCCGACCTCCGTTTCCTTCGGAATCATTCGCCTCAGACTCTACTCGGCTCTCATCACCATCACCCTTCTTCCTCTCTCTAC